TTAACGTTTTAACGAAGCGTGAAAACGCTTTACGGCATCCGTTTACTAACCGTTTGTAATCCGTTTTTTTGCCCATTTAAACGGAAAAGCGTTAATGTTGGTTTTCCCGTGGAGGGTCACATATGTAGCTAAAGATTACGTCTATTTCAAGTCAGTCAACGGCATGGAAGATGAGCTTTGCGTGAATAGCTCTTTCAATGCACTCACTTTTCATAAAATATTTCATTATTATTTTATTATCATAAATTAATTGTGATAAAATATTAGTTTTTCTTCCGCATGGTATATACGCACAGAACAACGCTTATAATATGGATGGGTTAAAATTCCAAAATAATGGTTCATCGTATTTATAGGTTGTGAAACTTCGCAGAAATAAAGTTTCTTTAACTCTTTATTGCTAACTGAACACAATGACACTTACTTTTCCAAGACGTCGTTCACAACATTTTCATCATCTTCACCTAAGATCAATGTTGCTGAAATCAGCAGCACAAAAGCGAACAAAAATATGGATGTCCTCATTTTAGAAAATTCTTTAACTTTTCGGCAGCAACGCAAAACAGGCTCTAGTATGCATCAACTCAAATCAGGTCTTTATATAGAGGAGTAAATACAGTCAAAATTAATTAAATATATTGCTCACCAGGGTAGGCGGAAGTTATATAGAGAGAAAACACTTGAGTAACTCAAAGGCCTCGCCTCTACTTAAACAATATTAAATTAACAATATTAATAATTACAATATACACGCATCTACGATTCAAAGGACGCGTTAGGTTATAAGTAAACAAAATTTCACTGAGTAGTGCCATGGCAAACAGTTTCTAACAAATCGTTGCGTACCTCCTTAAGGGGGCAATTCACGTGATTTATTGGACATTTTTTGCTGCGATTTTTGTCTTTTGATATATGTTATCAATTAGGTAAGTTAATTATTAAGATTAGTGATAAAATAACGTTACTCGTGCACGAGGTCAAGAAACTGAAATAGAAGCAGAAATCGCCCGTATGCACTGGTCTCCTGATAAATTGCCACATAGTATAAAAATGTCTTAAAAATGTGGATAGGTATAAGTTCAGTCGATCTAGAGTGATATCGATGTATTTAATATGCTTGATTATATTGGTTTGTAACAGAACTGTGAATGCTAATCAGGTTCATTGGTATAATATGGTTTAGTTTCCATTATAATCATTGATTACATTATGTAAGGACATGCATATAGGTATAGTAAATGAATTTTTGAAACGCCGATCATGTCACGTCAGCATACAACTCCAATGCATTCTAACCTTAAATTCATTAAATTTTGCCTTGTAAATTTATATATATATATATAGATAAATTTATTAACCTTTGACAACAGGCTTGTGTCTTTTAGTAGGCCTCTAGCCCACATTTTGCAACAATTTATCTCAGTTAATGAGAATTTAAATCCCTTTCTGTTGCCTGCACGACAAACAGTTAAGGTGAACATCTTTTTAATGTTTCGATTAAGTATCACAAGTCATTATTCTTTCCTAATGAGTAATAAAGCATTCTATTACCGGTATTTAAATTGTCTATATTGTTTTGTTCTTAAAATTCTCTCAATTTAATTGTGGTGATCGTAACTATAGAAAATTACGCTTTGCATATTTCATGTTTATACTTGAGTAAAAATTTTTTTGCCAACTGAAATGTCTGACATTCGATGAAAGATCGTTAAAAGATCTCATACGATATTTCTTTACACATAGAGTCAAATATTTTGTATGGTCAATGCATTATTTATATGAATAGGCTGAATAGCACGATATTTCGTCAGATATTTGGTTCATATTGAAAACAGTACAGTGAATCTCTCATCTCAGTCTAACAATTAAACGAACTTAAATTTCTGACCAAAATTTCTTGAGAAAAATGTTTGAGCCTCATCAAACTTGCAGATGTTCTTAGATTTCGATACCTTGTTACCCTCAAGGTGAAAAAGGTATAATTATTATAATGATACTGCCTCTAAGCAACGCGCGTTCATGCCTCTCCAAAAAAAATCATATCGATTTGGTTGCCGAGCAGTAAGTTGCCGAGCAGTAAGGCCGCCAATTATTTGTCATTACATTTATTTTAGGATATTATCTTATTCCTCCTATATATGCACACATACATAATTGCAGGATAACACGTCCCTGGACAAAATAGTTGTAAACATATCGCCTTAAGTGAAATAAAAGTTATCATAAGGAATGTGGATGGCTGTATGTGTCCTAACTGTGAATAAAAATATACTAGTTTTGTAGGTGTTTAAAAAGCAAGAAAAAAGAATTCGTTGGTCAGCTGTGGTGGCCGTGAAGGTCAAACGTCGCACTTTCAACATGTCTATTTAAAGATGATGTAAAGTCCGTTCTGAGCATATATTCTGCGCATAACAATGTTTGTTTACGTTGGTTATATAATCTTTACATGACGTTGCGTCGTTATAATTTTCTTATTTTCTTCTCGCACGACCTGCTGTAATCTGTGATGAATATGCTTATTTTATATTATATTTTGAAGAAAATATTGTTATATTTTGAGGAAAATATAAAGCAAAGCTTGTAAATAAACCGGCCGTTATTTAAAACGTTATATATTTGTAATTGTTGGACAAGCGAGAAGGTAGCGTCTGTAGCGACGACAAATATAATAGCCTCGCCATTTCGGGCCTCATTCAACAAATAAATTATTGGAGCAGTCCTTTCAGCATAATATTGCTTTTTTCTAGTAGCCTTATGATAAGATAAGTTATCGTCGTGACTCGCAATTCGAGCCTCTTCGCCTTGCGACATAAAATAAAATAATTGTGCTCCCGAACTGCCGTTTGTAATACAACGCGCTAATATCGCATATCATTAACATTCCAAAAGTTGCTCCCCCACTGATGGAATGTGTTGATGCGCGGAATATATGCGCAGAACGGACTTTACCTCATCTTTAACGTATTAAATATACTAGATAATGAGCTGAAAAGTCTCATCTAGTGTTTTAATGCGTTTAGCGCGCGAAAAGTGCAACGTGCTGACTATACCACCAACGCGTGGTACAAAAAACCAGAGCATAAAATCAAAAGATGTGATGAAAAAAGGAAGATATTATGGAAAGAAATATTGTTTAGAAACAATTGAATCTAGTGCAACTTTGCTAAGGTGATAGGTATACTGGCAAGCCGACTTATTTTATAATATGCCGGAAAATTGCTACCGCTGCGGTTTAAAGGACTTCAAACTTAATAATTACAAATTTGAAATGAATTCACACTGATTTTTAAAACGAAATATCCAGAGTTTATAACTATAAGAGCAATATCAGTAATTACAATAGGGGAAATATTAATTGCATGCATATTGTAACCATCTATAGGCTAGAACTTTTATATTAAATCAGATTAGTTGTTTTGACGGGTCAGTGTTATTGTGTTATTATAGATTAAAAATCATTTAATGTTTTAGCCACGTAATCGTTTTAACTTGAAACGTGTCTGTTTCCCCAAGCCCCGTTTACACTATACTCGATATATAGGCACGGCACGTCTAAAATGGTACGGTGAGGATGGGGGTTAGCCGTGCCGTGCCAATAAATCTAGTGTAGTGTAAACGGGGTTTTTGTCTATAATTTTTGTTAAAAGGGATGAGCTATCATTAGGATACAAATAATGATTTTAATGAGTTTCCTTACAGTACCGAGACAGCATGATACTGTAGTTCTAACAAATAGCTTCAATATTTTGCACGAGCAACGTTGACAAGTGGACTCGCAATAAAACAACAATTACTTCAATGATGATTTCCTGCCATTCGATTATTCCTGAAGATATTTCCAACAGTTCTCTCCGTTCAGCTATACGAATTTCAAATTCCAAGTAATAGTTAGGAAAATTTGTGGTAGGAAAAACCGCACTTACCCGCAATTGAAAACGTCCATCCGGGCACTGCTGAAATGGGCTTGGTACCCATTTCAGCTATGCTGTGCCAATAAATCGAGCGGTAGTGTAAACGGGGCTATAGTTACCACGTGCACTGATCACGGATTTATCATGCAGAATCTGCCCGAATGGGGGGGGGGGGTGGAAACAGTTTAGACGTTTGTTTTTCGAAACCACTAAGGTTAAGCGCGGCTTACAATAGTGATATCATGTAATATTTACTGTGATATTCTGGTAACTAAGTGATAATGCCAGGTGGATAGGTATTTTAAGTTGTTCGAATCTTTGCTAGCTAATCAGCCACTTTTGATAACTTGCCCGCTTAGTATGCTGGGTGTTTTAATTACAGATATATTCGCTCAACCCATTAATTTATATAGAACCCGTTGAACAATAGTACTACATCTTTAACTTCAAAAGCAATCATTTTGGCGGCTTTTTATGTAAAATATTCTTATAGAAACAAAACAACTAATGGCGTTGTTATTAAGGTATTTGAAATTTATCCGTGTAATTTATTTATGTAACTTTCCATGGCATCGTTTTTTTTATGGTATATGGTATATGGTATATGGTTTTTATGGTATTTTCATGCCGGTCGCAGTTTCCTTATCAACAACACGTGCATGGGAATAGTTTTAATAACTTCATGTTACCAAGTGATATAAGCATGCGATCAGATATCAATTTATCATCGTAACGACTGATCTCGTTGAAAATCATATATCACTAGTGATTTCTCGTTTTTCAGACATTAATGTACTATTGAAGTATATAATTATTCTTTATAATTATGCTCAAGCCTTGTTAAGCACATACACCGTGTTTATAGTTTTCGTATAATATATTTTTGATGATTAGAGACAACGATTTTCCTTCTTAGTTCTTCATTGTACCTTGAATATTTATTGATTTTAATAATAATGTATTAAGTTTTTTACTAAGCAGTGTGTACGAAACATATTATTAATATTATGCGTAGACCAAACATGGGCCTGTAATAATTATAGAAATTGAAGCAAAAAATGCAAACATTTAATTCATATATTTCTCATTTTTGATGGTTTGAATTTGTTCAAAGAATTAGTTTAGACTTCTTAGCGTGTTTAACGCTATCAGGAATGTCTTTTGGATACCCAACAGCTTTGAATACTATGGTTTCAGACTCGTTCTCTTTTGCTGTTGAATCTAACACCAACCTGCGGTTCGTTGTCTTTGTGGCTGTGATCATTTCAATCAGGTTCGCAAGACAACCAGCACAAGCGAAGAATCCCCCAGAAATAAAAAATGCTAAACGGTATGAACGAGTAACGTCGAATATCCATCCTGAATATTATAAATAAACCATTTTAGCATTTGAGAATGTTTCGAGACAAAATATATTTAAAAATTTAGCCCGTCCACGCAACCAAGTATGGTCTTCACACGCCCCTCCCCGGTCGCCGTCGCGTTTCTCATTGACTGCGATTTGCGAATTTTCCTGACTAAATGGCGAGCGCTTTCGAATCAAAAGTTCAATGATACAATTAATTATATCCATATAAAGAATGACATTCAGTATGGAAGATATATAGTTCGCATTTTGAGAGAAATAACGAGAAGTATTTCACTGATCACAAACCGCAATACGACGCTGCATAAATTTACATTTTAGCCATGCAGCTTCTGCGAATTTGTTCTTGGGTCAAATAAACTCAAATTTGTGCTTTGGACTTCGTGCTTGGGTCAAATAAACTCAAAATATCATCAAATAATGCCTAATGCATAGATCGAGAATCTATTGCATGGAAAGAAGCTTAAGCGGAGTTATTCCACATTTTGTACGTCAGATACCCGGCTATTTTCATATTCAAATTCATGTCTGAATCTGAATCTGAATCTGAATGTGAAAATGTATTTGAAACCGTAGAGCCGACGGTGATACTGTTTTTAAAGACATTTATAGCCTGTTTTGAAATAATATGTGAACTACTTCTCACCTGCTAAAACTGGACCGACACCCCCCGGTATACTGAGAGCCCCAAATAAGTAAGTCACTGCGTGCTTCGCGTCATCCGGGTGGGACACTTCAGGAGTTATCATAATGACACACAATGACTGGAATCCACGGGCAAAACCAAAGAAAATTGAAAAAATAAACACGTGGGTTGAAGTTTTTGCTAAAGGTAGCAATGTTATTGATACAGCCAGAGTTAGTAGTGCCAAAATGTTATAAGTATGAACACTCCAGTTGCGTTTATCGATCATCCTCCCCAAAATTACTTTTCCCGCAGTTTCCATGCCGCACATCAAGGTAATGTTGTACACGCTGACGTAAGTTGGTATGCCAATATCTTTACAAAAAGATATCTTGAAGAAATATTGAAAATTATAATTTGAAAAGAAAAATGGCAAAGGATACAATATGCTTTTCCACTACTCGAATATTTTTTTGGAACGAGATTTTTTTAGGATGTTTAAAAGATTTTTTAGGCTTTTATACAAATTTCTCTTTCGGAAAATCGTTCAAAGAATATCATAAATCAGATGTATATATAATTCATGCCAAAAGCAGTTTGAAATCCTAACCGTTTTGTGAGAAGTTTTAAAAACATAAGCTTATCTTACCAAGTGAACTTGAGGTACAAAGAGTCCAAGATAGACAAATACCATTAGAAGCACCCAAATTAGGAATCTTTTATTTTTCAACATTCTACCAAACGATATTCGGACGTTCAAACCATTCCCCTTTTCACGAGGTATTTGTTTTTTGCTGGGGAACAGGGCACACGCAAACAGTAAGGGAATGAAAAATAATGAAACTATTCTTAATGTGACACGCCATCCGTAATGTCGTATTAAATATTCGCACGCCGGTCCATACCACATTGGAAAACCTCCAGATGCGGAGGATACTACCCCAGTTGCTGCGGCTAAATGTCTCTGGAAACAAAATTGCAAAACTATAATGCTTGACATATATAACAAGCATGTCCCAGTGCCAAATATTACGCCATATGTCAGGTAGAACAGTGAAATGTCTTTCACAAATGAACTGAGTAGTAGACCAAGACATAAGAGGGTGCTTCCTAGGACGACAACTGGTCGAAAACTGAAATACCGAGTTAAGATACCACATGCTGGACATAAACACATGTACCAAATGAAATGAAATGAACCAATCCAGGCTGGATAAACGAAAAAATATAGTTGGCGCTGATTAGTGAATAATAAACCATATCACATATCCATATACCTAGCCGAAAATAGTAGCGATAATTGAGGGGGGGATGACCAAATTCATAGGCAGAAGGGAGGAATTGAATTCAGCACAATTGATCTTTTTTAGAACAAGCTTTAAAGTGATTCATCTCCGGATTCTTGATTCAGTAACGCGCGAAAAAGGTGTATATACGTATATTTCGGTGACATAGTGAAGTGTTTCTTAATAATTAGCCGTAGGAGTAGTAACGACACAAATTTTTATCTTCAAACTATGCTCAAGTTTCCTGATCAATCTTCTGAAAACCGATACCATGAGCTTTTGATAGACACTTTTTTACTACCGGTAGACCAAATAATTTGAAAGTTGCTGTCTCCTGAATGTTTACGAGATCAAGTAGCTACAATACAAAAATTGTCAAATGATTGCTTTTTAGCAAAGAAAGAAAACCTGTTTTTCTTTTCTCTTGATGTGATTTTCTGATAGTATTGAAGTTTGATATCCGAACTCCGCCTTTATACATACCTTATATATTTATAATACCATACCTTTATATTATAGTAAAGTAAGAAACAAATTCCGAATAAACAGGTCATCTTGAGAGCGAAAATATGAATCAAGCAAGGCAGAGGTTGAGACTATAAAATCTTGAACTTACTTTTTAAATTGTCGGCTGGTCATGGCTTTTATAATTATAATAGTGTAGAACTAGAAACGAACGTCGATCGAAAAACGAAAATGGATTGTTTTCAGGAAAGCTAATTAATCTCAAACTTATATCTAACTATTTGTTGTTTTTATGTCTCCACTTCGGTATTTGTGTATTCTATATTGTATATAATAACGTTGAGAATACAAGCAATTTCATTCCTCGAGAGCCATGATCTATACGAGAACAACCCCGCTGAAAGACGTCACAGAAAATTTTAAAGTGCCTATATCACTTGTGGGATCTTTACGGATTTGAATAGGGCTTGAAAAATTTGTTTATAAGTTCTACAACCTATTTTGATATAATTAAATAGTTTCGAAAATACGTCTGTTGGGGGGACTGGGACTTAGGAATGATTTGCAAACACGCCGTCTTTTATAATGTAAACATGAAGAGTTTCAGCGATAAACAGCTGGGCATTTTGTTGTCGCTGTCTAAAAATTGCGGGCGCATTTCTTCAAGAAGAATTTTAATTCTTCGAACGCCAAAAACATGTATTTTGAGGAGCTTTTTCTCCTTTTTTACTGGTTTGTTCATGGAAATAAAAGGGTGTATTCAAAGATTACGTTCCCGTGTTTGCATACAAGGGTATAACGACATTCTTGCGTAAATATTTGCGAAGGATTTTTATTTGCAAATGGGCGACAAGTTGAAGTATTTCACTCATTGTCAAGGTTTCAGAACCAGGTTACAGCAGTATGCAAACAACGAATTAACCCTATTTTACTCTTGACAGAAGCTGACATATTGTTGTTTCCACAGGTGTGTTCATTAATCTATTTGTCCCTTCTCACGCGAAATAATAAGTACCTTAACATGCATTTTTCTATAGCCCCTTTTCCTCTAGGTCTAAAGGTACTAAAGATCATGTCATAAAAGGTTCTAAAGATTTCCCATTATTGTATTTTGATGAAAGCAATGTTGTACTAAATTTTTGCTCAAATAATTTTATTATACTCTAGTTAAATGATCAGAAATAGGAAGTAACATATCCCACAGGCTAATTTATATGTTTGTTTACAGACAAAAATAAGTATTGTGCGCATTTTTCTCAGCATGCCCACTAACTTTTTTATGAAGTTTGAACAATATGGATAGTTTTAAGCCATGTTTCGGAGAGAGGCACTGGTAAAAATTTTAAAATATTTTTATATATGTGCCACAGCATCACATAACTTCACAAAGCAAGCATGCCCATATTAAAGTTTGCAGTTAGATTCTTAAAACTTACCAATCAATAGGACTTTTCATAATTCATAACAACCAATGCTTGGACATATTAAAATTACTTTTGCAGCAATTTTTACATCATCGCAAACTCATACAGAAGGAAGTTCGTAAGTATATTACAACATAGCATTTTCAGAGCATAAGTAGTTTGTGAAATTACAACATCTAGAGCATTTTTCCCATGAGTGGCTAATGTTTCAATGAAGCAAAACATGATTTAACTTTCATAAAATATACTTCATAACTGAAGGCAAAGGTCAGTTTTCACGAAATCGAAAGAGGAAAAGGTGTTATTTCTATAGAAAAATGCATGTTAAGGTACTTATTATTTCGCGTGAGAAGGGACAAATAAATTAATGAACACACCTGTGGAAACAACAATATGTCAGCTTCTGTCAAGAGTAAAATAGGGTTAATTCGTTGTTTGCATACTGCTGTAGCCTGGTCCTGAAACTTTGACAATGAGTAAAATACTTCAACTTGTCGCCCATTTGCAAATAAAAATCCTTCGCAAATATTTACGCGAGAGTGTCGTTATATATACCCTTGTATGCGAGCACGGGAACGTAATCTTTGAATACACCCTCTTATTTCCATGAACAAACCAGTAAAAAAGGAGAAAAAGCTCCTCAAAATACATGTTTTTGGCGTTCGAAGAATTAAAATTCTTCTTGAAGAAATGCGCCCGCAATTTTTAGACAGCGACAACAAAATGCTCAGCTGTTCTGGCGATATAGTTTGCGCTTTTCAAGAAAAAAATGCAGGAACGGTGCGTTGTGTATGGCTGTAGCAACTGGGCGAGTTTTTCTCAAAATATTTTACGTTATTGGAAGATTGAAGTAAAATTACAATTGATCAGATTATGTTTGACAAGAACTCGGTTCCTGAGTCCCAGGCCCCCGAGCACAACGGTAATTTAGACAAATCGTCATATTTATATGTAAATATTTCCGAAACTATTTAACTATATCAAAAAGGGTTGTATAGAACTTATAAACTAATTTTTCAAGCTCTATTCAAATCCGTAAAGATCCCACAAGTGATATAGGCATTTGATCAGTCATCGCTTGTTTGTTTTGTCAGCCAACCACATTTTAGCTTGTTTCTTAAGCCAGCCAATTGCATTTCTTTAGTCCTATAGATCATGTACGCGTGCATGCATTGCATATATTAGATTGACTAAAGGTGGCTGGCGTAGGGTTTGTTATAACAACATGGTTGTCATTCCTTCAAATATTTTGTAGTAGTTTTGTTTTTTTCATTTCGTGTTTAGCATGCAATCACTATTGCAAATAATCATAGGGGACTCTATTAAATTAACACATAAATTATGAATACCCATACAGATATGTTGTTATTAATTTAGTACTTAAGTCATCGACTTTGCCCTTCCTACCAATTTTTGTTCTGTTTTCCTGAAATTCTCCCGTCCAGCTTGTGAACAAAACACCAAAGGAATTTGATATTCCAATCGCGATTCCAACAAGAAAGAATGCCCCGAGAGCCACAAGCCAACTTCGTTTGCTATCGTTTTGCATCTCCCGGTTTTTGTCGCACATTCCCGTGGCAAATTGTACGCTTGGAATTCTATCTTTCTTTCACTCAAAACTATTACAAGAACTGAGCAAGCTATAAAGAGATCATAACATGATTTTAAAAGTAATTTAAGTCTTCGTTGAAATGTTGCCAATGTCCTTTAAGGCCAGTTTCTCACCCAGCCTACGCGTGATTTTTACTGTCTTTACTCACAGACAATGTTAATGTTTGAACACGCACTGCAAATTAGTCATGCTATGCTAATATTGGTGTTCATTGACTGTGAAAACAATGAATTTCTAAAGAAATGAATAGTGATAATAACATAAAATTTGCATAGTATGATTAAAACGGCAGGCAGCTGGCTACGCCACTGGTATTAATTGGGTATAAACTATTTTTAATGAGGTACTTTTATTATTAGGAATCGTCAAGTCGAGGTGAAAAAAACCTAAAAACCTTCAAAAGAGCAAAAATAATGATCTCATAGAATCTCTACCATTTGTAAAACTTGAACCTTTCCGCGTTCCACGTTTCCGAATCGAGGAGCTAGTCGAGGAAAATCAAATTATAACCAAACAAGACGCCTGCTCAGGCGTTTGCTCCGCATGTAGCGACATATAATGCAGTTGGGGAGAATGTTGCTTCCAAAGCAAAGTTCTCATAAGCATATAAGTTCTTAGTTTATAAATGGCAATCATGTGTGATGACCATTGAATAAAGAGAAAACAAATCAAGATATATATTTACGCTCTATTATACTAAAATGCATAATCTCCCTTTCCTTGGAGCTCTGAAAATTTCAATCACTTTGTGCTGAAATGTGCATACATCAATATACATATCAAGTACATTTTGTGAATTGAAAGTCTATAAATAAATTTGAAAAACGCATGAGTTTTATTCATGCCAGATGAAGTCTTTTTTATAAAAAATATATATGGTTTACAAGTAAGATAATATCAGGCCTGATAATATGTAACACGCAAAATCCATTTAGAGACTTCCGATAGTTATGCAATTTAATTAGCACCTTCCCAAGGCATGTGGCTCGTAATGCTCAATATAATTATATAGCTTGCGACGTTGTTTGTGCGGGTGGGGAACTTTGGCTTTATGGAAGCTACAGAAGTATTAAAGTAGTGATTGTAATCATTGCATTACCGGCTATTAAAAAACGATAAATTTTTGAAAGAAAGCATTTCGAGTTTTTGACGTGAAATTTGACGTTAATGAAATTATAGCATGCACTGAATAGTAATAATTATAGCCTTTCATGTCTGCATGACGCTCAGAAGAAATCATGAAGCGCACGAAATAGCATTCGATTAGGCTAAAATTATATAACCCCATGCATTACAAGCCTACTATTCTAGGTTTATTTCTGTGTAACACATTCTGCGCTTCTTCTATAAAGTTGTAACATTGCAAATGTTTAATTTAATAAAATTAAGCCAAGTCCAAGGCCAATGAACGAAATTCCGGCAAACGTTTCAACGAACGGTAAATCAAACGGATGACCACGCTTTTGGAAAATTTTGGAACAAACGAAATAGCGTTAACGTATGTTTCCCCGTGGAAGGTCACATATATTCACGTTCGGCACTGATTAGTTTCGTTTAAAATTGACTGTTTTTAAGCTCTGCTAACGTGAACGGTGAACATAATATTATGGCTAAGTCGTGGAGGCAATAATAGAGACCTTTAGCTTGGCGTTTACGACAATCCTCCAACGGCAAACAGAAAAATTCATTTCTAATTTTCAAAACAAATGCTAGGTTTCTGTGGTCGAGAAAATTGGTGCCTTATTTTCAAACATAAAATGATTACTGAGACAAATTGTGGGCGAGAATGTGCCAAAAATCTAATTTTAAATGTTATTTGAAATTAGCCGTTTGCAGTCTGTTCGCGGTTTGTCATATTGTTTAAGCTAAAGGTCTCTAATATTCGTATAATTATTCACTTTCGACACTATTATTTTGATATTGACTGTCTTTAACTTTTTACGCTCGGCTAACGTGAATAGATGAATATTTTCCCCCATGCATTGAACGATCTTCCGCGGCCCTGAATCAATGTTGATATATCGTGCCTTGTTGAAAGGTATACTTATTATAAGTACCGATTTTTATATTAATCCACACCCAATTTAGATCAATGTCATGTAATGTGGCTATTTGCCATTTGTATCGCATGCTGCATTTGCCTCTATGTATATTGCAGAATACCCCTCTGGCTCTACTGCATTATCATATCGTCAGCTACAATTTCACTGGATACGCGGTGAGATTAATAGCTCCCATGTTATGGATAACTATATATTTTATTTTAACCTGCCCCGTTATCTTAACATATTAACTAAGTCACTGCGTATCCATATCCATGTAACCATGTTATTTAAAATTCGCTCCCACAATTCTACATACCAAATCGGATTGCAGACGATGATATACTGAGAATATCCACATCGCGTGACAATGTTTATTTCAGATATCTCGCTTTTTTGGTGCATCAAATTTCTTCAAAATGTAATTCGAAAACCACTAGGTAGATAGAAAAGGTAATGTCGCTAATGATAAGAGCAGAACGTATACGTACTTGAAATACATTGATTTCAATCTATTATTCAATGTAAATAATCAGGGCCGTGTCTACTAACTATAGACGGCTTAAGTGGGGGATGTATAATTTTATTAATGTATTCATATTAATATATTCATCGACATTGCTATTGACAGCAGTGGCGGATCTACGGGTGTGCAGAATAAATTACACAGCTTAATTTTAAATTTAAATAACAACACAGTTGGTTATAGATTTGAAAAGAATATTTTTGCATTAAAATCTGCCCAGGTGATTCCGATTTTAAGTCGCAGCAATTTATTCTTCACACCCCTAGATCCGCCACTGATTGACAGGTTCCAAGCCTCACCCAATCTTCTAGACATAATACCATAAAAGATATTATTTTTTAAACTTTCTAAAGCACAATATTTTGGGGCACAACCAATGGGCTTAAGAAGGAACAATGTAAGTCGAGGGCAATTCAAACGCAGCCTTTAGGCAAAAATCCCGCTTAAGCTGTTGCCAGTTAATGAAACCATGTTGTGCTGAACACTCGCCCCCCCCCCAGAACATGAACATTCTCAATCTTCAGGTTTCAGCAAGCAAAGCTGCCTCGGCAGATAATCAACACCCGTTTTCTTTAACCTCCATGGCATCAATATTATGCGCTTTTGCTGTTGAATCAAATACCAAACTACGGTTTGTAGTCTTCGACGTTATCAGTTGAATTAGGTTTGCAAGACAACCAGCACAAGCGATGAATCCCCCAGCAATAAAAAATGCTAAACGATAAGAGCGGGTGATGTCGAATATCCATGCTGAAATTGATGAAGAGACTATTTTAGATTTTAGCAAGTCGCCATTTTTTGAGAGATTTTTAATCAGCCCTTCGAAATAATACTTACAGTATGAAAAGTCGAAAAAAGACGAACTAAAATCACTCCAAACTTCTGAAATGTTTCTCATTTGCAAGTTAAAATGTCTCAAACATAAACCAGCCTCAACAATGCAGGTTCCCTTTACGACCCCGCTCCGTGTATTATAGTTTCGAGGTTAGAGGTAATGTAGCAAACCCACTAAATACGTTACAACCCATTCCTCAGATTCATCTCTCTAAAAACCTTGGTTGTAAACCAGTAGTTTTTGTTGTAGTTGAGGGTTTATATATAGTTGTTGACTGTTTTAAAACGAATTACATAAACTTTCGTAAACTACTGCTCACCTGCTAAAACTGGTTCAAACCCACCCGGTATACTGAGGAGCCCAAATAAGTAAGTCACTGCGTGCTTCGCGTCATCCGGGTGGGGCACTTCAGGAGTTATAATAATGACGCACAAACACTGAACTCCATAGGCAAGACCAAAGAAAATTGAAAAGAGAAATATATGAGTTGAAGTTTTTGCTAAAGGTAGCAATGTTATGGATACAGCCAGGACTAATAGTGCCAAAATGTTATAAGTATGAACACTCCATTTGCGTTTATCGATCATCCTTCCCAAAAGTAGCTTTCCAACTGTCTCCATGCCGCACATCAAGGTAATGTTGTATACGCTGACGTAAGTTGGTATGCCAATATCTTTACAGAATGATATCTAAAAGGTAAATTGAAAGTGGAAATAAATAGTATTAAAAATGGTGGGTTCACTAAATTTAAGCGAATAACTCAATTTTTTTATTCCTCTTTTAATGAGGCTTCCGTTTTATGATGTCATAGACTACCGTTTTTATATGAAAACTTTGTACATATCCCTGGTATCATTTCCTTACCAAATGCATCTGAGGAACAAAGAGTCCAAGATACACCAATGTCATCAGAAACAACCAAAGTAGAAATCCTTTATTTTTTAACATTCTACCAAACGATTTCCTAATATTCAAGTCATTTTGCTTTTCACGAGGTATTTGCTTTTTGCTAGGGAACAGGGCACACGCAAACAGTAAGGGAATGAAAAATAATGAAACTATTCTTAATGTGACACGCCATCCGTAATGTCGTATTAAATATTCATATGTCGGTCCATACCACATTGGAAAACTGCCATTTGCGGAGGTCACCACCCCAGTTGCTGCGGCTAAATGTCTCTCGAAACAAAATGGCATAACTATTATGCTTGACATAAATAACAGGCATGTCCCAGTGCCAAATATTACGCCATATGTCAGGTAGAACAGTGGAATGTCCTTCACAAATGAACTGAGTAATAGACCAAGACATAAGAGAGTGCTTCCTAGGACGACAATTGGTCGAAAACTGAAACTCCGAGTTAAAATACCACAAGCTGGACATAAACACATGAACCAAATGAAATGAAACGAGCCAATCCAGGCTAGATAAATATAAAGGAATTAATTCAGTGCAGAATTAATTCAACCGTCTTGTATAATCTTAAATATATCTTGACAAACTTTACAGATAAACCTACAATCATGTGCAAAAATTATGAGACTTTACGTATTTTAAACACATTTTTTTCATTTTGACAACTATTTTGTCACGTATTTCGTTAAACTATTGACTATTCCCCCCTTCCCCCATTGACAATGTTGAGAGTGATATTTTCGGCAAATCAAATGGCTTGGTATCATAGAAACAACATTGTTTTGGGGGGAGAGGGGGGTAGATACTAGGTGTCATGACCGTGTCTCAATAATTTTTGCACATGATTGTAGGTAATCATCGTATAAAAAGCACATAAAATTAAGACCAAAAAGCTACAGTTTGACTGCAGAGATGCAAATTATATCCTGAATCTAACTGGTATGGTACCTTTTTGTCGTTCCTTTTAGCGAAAAATAATCACTTTCCCCTTACTTTCAAGACAACTCAAAAAGTAATAAAGCTTATTTGAAAAAAAATCATAGAGCTGAATTTTAACACATTGATCTGGGGAATTTTATTTGTTTTAGCTCACCCCTTGGGGAAAATATTTACAGCTAAATGAAACCTCGAATTCAAACTGTCCAATGAAAAAGCTAGATTTCTGACACGTGATCACGGAATTTTTCTCCGTATCGCCCCTTGCGTCATCCGTATTCGCTGCAGGGGCAGATTTTTTTATATTCACCGAAAAATATCAATTCGAGGAAAAACGCGTTGTGGTCACGTGAGCCTCACGGGAGTGTATAAAGAAAATGGCGGGAAATGTTTTTTTCTTCTGCTAGCCAGGGCCAAATATTATAATTTTTGGTGTAATATATTATTGACCCTCCGCTCGGGAGATTCGGCGAAATATTGCCCTCAGAAATCATATTTAATATCATCATGTCGGGAATATTTCGCCGAAAATCCCTCACTCCGGGTCTATGAATGATAACAGTAACTTGCGTAGCAATATCGGAAGAATACATTTTAGCATAGAAAATTTTACTCAAATTAAATCTCATACCAAGGTCAGATACCAAGGTCACCCACAACTCAGCCGATACTTGATTGCGTAATATTATTACCTACCAATTGTTGTTCTGTTTTCCTGAAATTCTTCTGTCCAGCTGGTAAATAAAACACCAAAACAATTGACTATCCCCAACGGGATCCCAGCAAGGAAGAACGCCCCCAGAAGCACAAGACAACTTCGTTTGGAATCTTTTTTCATTGCCCCTCTTTGTTGTCCTATTCCAATTGAACAAATTGCTCAGCTCAAATGTCTAACGTATATCTTAATCACAGGATGAAAGAACATTTAGTACGATTAGAACTAGAAGTTTGATCATATTGCATGTAGAAGGCAATTTCGGGTATACTGCCTTATAATTTATTTTGTTACCTAGCGTGCAGACGCTAGGAATGCCGATTATCAAGTAGCTTGATATCACACTGTAAACACGATTTGTGTGGGATCTTTACATTCGGGATTTCTTTTAGCTCAAACGATCAACCCAGTATTAAAATCGTTCATAATTTCGGCGGTCAATATTTCTTGTTTAGTTGCCACGTAAAAGACTGCTAAAATCATTACACATTTCGTGACCAGTAACCTTCCATTTTCCCTTACTATTGATTATGTCTAGCGTTTGATTGAAAAGTATCAACAAATCTCACATAATGCAATTTAAACTGTCAGTCAAGTAATTTGCGGACAATAACAATGCTATTATATATTTATTTCATTATTATTTGAACATATAATCGCGATAAAACATCAAATTTTAAAAGATTGAATTCATCCCCTGCTGGTAACTCCTGGTACATATATGCCTTTACAAAAGAACAGCGAGCGCCGCAATCGCTTTGTTTCATCATTCCTGCGGAGATCAATGCAATGCATTGTAATGCGATAAAGTGCGGTGGGTTAGAGCGCCAGGCGCCTGTGATTGTGCAAGCCCGCGGTAATCCGTCTGTCATGTGGTATAAATAATGTATACAAATAATACAATACACGCAAGTTAGTCGCTGCAAGTGTTTTATTATATAGCAAGTTTTAAAGGAAACAACAGATGAAGATACGCGACAAAAACGTGGGACACTTTTCATTTTAAAAAGAATTCGGCTGAGATTCAAAGGTCATATGTCGCCTGATGTGACGACTTCCGGTTTTATTAATCAACCAACGATGGTTAACCAACTGCCCGCCATAATTGCCCGAAAAGAGCCTGCGGAGGAGGTAGATTGTTAAATGCATTAACCTCCTATCAAACTGATTCAAAACTGACAATATTTTGTGGTAAACATTCGGATTCCCTGCCTTTCACGTGACGTAGTTTTAACCAATCAGATTCTGGAACAGATGAACTTCGAAACTTGCTATATAATAAAACTTGTTATATACTGGTTATATAATGCTATATACTTGTGTGAACAAAATCTCAATCGTGTTACGTAACGCTTAGCGCGTGCTAAAAAAAAGAATCTATGGCGTTTATTTATACATTCGTAAATAGTTGCCCGCTAATTCAATAGCGGTGCTTACAAAATTATTTTTGGTAAAAGTGCGGCGCTTATTCGAGTAGCGACGTTACTTATCATTGATCATTTACGCACGGTACTGAAAATCAGTAGATCATGCATGTTGACCGCAGGATCTAAATCATCCACTTCTTACACTAGCTATCTTTCTCATGACACTGATATCCGGGTTAGGTTCAGATTTTATATCTTGAACCGTTAAAAGAGAAGTGCTCGAGAATACGGGCCGGGCGTTCGATCGAAGCGCGGTTTGAAGCCCGCATGTAAAGATGACGACTCAGAATTCTACCCGCCCGCGTTTAGCTTTTTGTGAAAACTTATATGAAACTGCGTATAACGTTTGAAATCTCAGTACGGGTAGAGACGAGTAATACTGTAATAGTGAATATGAAATCATCAGAGATGCGTCCTGAAAACGTCCACAAAATATCCTCTCAAGAGACAAACATCTCCTCCCCTATTTCAATGTGGTTTTGTAACACAATCTGTTCAAGCTTAGGTAATATATTACGAATCCATAGGTACACATGCCCGCATATAAATGTAGGGCAAATTTACACTTCCTTAGCGAAAGTACAAGTTTTGCAATATTGACATGGGGGGAAGGGGGTAAAATTGAGAAGTCTGTCGTTCGACATGACAATTTTCTTATATATTGACTTTTATTGCGATATGTTGACCTTTGTCCTCATGTGTAGCTATGTACGGAAAATATGGAACAGATCGAACTCCTCACGAAGTCAAATGCCTGTTTGTACTTCTGTCATAGATATATGTACGCAGTCACTTGTATGCGACCAAGAAGAAAATTTAAAATGGTCACTGAACACCATGGTCTGTATCATTTACGTACGGACATGACCCTATAAACAGAAACTATTTTATGGGGATATAATGTAATTTTGCTATTTATAGCAATACTTTATAAACGATATAATATAAATTATCTTCTATATTACGCGTGCCATGGTGTTCACAGGTTTCTGGTTTCCTACGCTATGTGTATACTAAAAACAGCCAACATTAGACAAATAAATGTAGCAACGCTGTACACTTGCATACAGATGATATGAAAATCAAACGAAACTTACCTTTAAGTCGAAGTTTGATCGTGATTCTGCCGACTCACCCAGAGCGCTTAGGGATTACTTAAGAAGCACAGCGATCATGCAACTTAGTCAGTCTTTATCGCAGGAACTGTGTGCCAGGCAACCCGGCAAAATTTGGGTGGGAAATACACCTTAGTGGAGGGCGCGTAATTCCTAAGCGCCCTGGGTTATTTGGCAGAATCACGATCAAACTTCTATCTAAAGGTAAGTTTCGTATATTCTACCTCATCACCCGCTGCGCTTAGCGATCGCGTGAGATTTTAAAGCGTTGCAGGCACACCATGTCAATTGTCACAAAGCTCTCGAAAGAACAAAACAGATGTGATATAATCTTAAGTGAACAGCATATATAAATTATATTAGGTTGATAGAACCTTGTCAGTATATTCTCAATTTGATTGAATAATAGTCTTGTTGTAATACTTAGCAAATGTACAATCAGATTTCCAACCTGCAACCTTCAAGATTTCATTGATTGGCTGTTCAGCTTGCGATGCTGCAGACGTTGAGGCCGCACTTGGCTGTTGAAAATGCGGTTTGATTTGAAAAGTTTAGTGTTTATCCCGGCCAGAGCCATCAACGTTTTTAATCCGTCGACGTATTGTCTGCCGGCTGATAAACAGTTGCCCATCATCGGACCTCAGGTTTTCCGTGCGGCCGGAGATATTCGTTCAAACAACGATGTACTACACATAACCGAGCGTCTGGGGCAAATGCCATCAATGTAATAACTGTTGCTTTGCCGCCAGCTTTGCTTGTTTTAACCAGTTCGGTAATTGTGAAAGAGAAGCATGATTCAGTTTTGGTCGTATTTTTAATATTTAGCAAATGAATATTTACAACAAAACTGTCCGTGGGATGAAGGCACTGGAATGAACGCCGTAAAATTTTCTGGTCGATAATAGAGTTTGTATTTCGCGGATAAGGTTTCATAATTCATGGCGATTGTCGCGAGTTTATAAGCAGTGATTCATCTATAGGGTTCCATAGGTCGCTGAAGTTTATCAACGGACTTCAACAATTCAGCCTTTCTTGCATGGTTGCCAAAATGACGTTATTTGTGTATTCTGTAAAATCCCTAGAATTACCTAAGTTTTCATCGATATTCATCGTTAATGCAGATTATAGAAACTTTCGAGAGCTACGAAAAAGACGTCTAGTCGCTAAAATGATCGTCAATGCACTGACTAAGTTGCGTGTTTGCTAAGCGCAGCGGGTGATGAGGTTGAATTATATAATAAAGCGGTCTGGCAGCAATCACTGAGCCAACTCGCCGTGTGATGTGAAAATGACCCGCATTCCATAAGTTTCCTTATTACCATGGACATCCGAACTTTGGGGCTTTCAAACGGCCCTAAAAGTTCGGCAATGGATGATTTTTGCAATTTTTGTCAATTAACACAGAACATGCGAACGCATGAGCTTAACTAGCAACCGCTGCTAAATGCTAAGTGAGCTTGCCTGCATTGTATTTTCGTATTTTGGGAGGGGAGGGACAAAATTAAGAATCGTAAATCAGAGCAAAACAATGATGGTTATTCCTGATGGTTATTCCATGAGAACGAAATTTGAACCAGTGCCACTGTTTTAAAACGCTTCTGCAGAGTTTATTGTAAATATATATCAAAAAATAATCTAACAACATTATTCAGATGTTGGACAAGCCATTTCCACCCAAATCCCATAATTGATATTTTGAAGCAGTTTCAGGTAGACCCCTAGCCTAATACAGGGTCGCCTCGCCATTTCCTCTTCTATAACCATGCCTGATAAGCTTATGTCATAAAATAAAATTGAAAACCCTGCTACGCTGCTCCTTGGTTATATTGGAACGTATCTAAAACTGTTTCAAATTAAAGTGATTTATTCTGCACACTCCTAAATCCCCCACTGGGTTTATTGACGTAGTTACTGTAACTCATGTCAGCAAAACCACATGCCATTGAAACTCTCTTAATTTGATATATATATATATATATATATATATATATATATATATATATATATATATATATATATATATATATATATATATATAGCGAAGTTAAAATTTTCTTTCAGCTTTTTATCATTTTCCACATTTTTGTATAAAGAAAAATAGTAAAACATTGGAGTCAAAAGAAATTGGGGAAATGACGATTACATTGTTGAGTTCGCATTAAATTAATTCTTTGGCAATCAGGTCACTTTTCACCAATCTTTACTCGTTCAAATTTAGTGCGCAACACTAAACAACCCACGTCCATGACCTTCGGTCAATCTTTTGCCTAGCCTTTTTTGTACACAAAATTATTACACAAAGTCAAGATTACATTTGTTTACGATCTAGTAGCTTCGACTTGACCTGCATGAATTTTGAAAAATCAACACCGGTTCTCATCTATTTCCACGGCTTCGCTATCGCCCTCTTTTACACTCGAATCAAATACCAAACTACGGTTTGTAGTCTTCGAGGTTATCAGTTGAATTAGGTTTGCAAGACAACCAGCACAAGCGAAGAATCCCCCAGAAATGAAAAATGCTAAACGATATGAGCGGGTGACGTCGAATATCCATGCTGAAATTGATTGAAAAATATTTT